TGAAAAGTCACCGCCCTTCCTCCCTGCAACTGCTGCACAGCTTTCTCATCGTGGTGGCATACGCTGTGGGGCGGGGGACCTGCTGCATAGCAGGGCGGGCCGCCACCGCATGGGTGCCAGGGAGACCCGCCCCTCAGCAGGGCGGCCGTGCGGGCCACGGGACGGACGGCACCCCGCGAGCTAGCTTCGGAGCTTCCTGGCCTGGCGGTGAGATCCGGGCAAAGCCTCGCGGAGGCGCCGAAGCAGATCTAATGGCGAGGGAGGATGGAGAGGATCGAGGAGGAGGAGGCGGATCGAGGAGGATCGAAGAGGATCGAGGAAGATCGAGGAGGATCGAGGAGGATCGACTGGCCCGCCGCCGCTCGTCCTGGCAAGTCGCCGCGGGCCCCGGGATAGCTCGCCTTCCGCCTGCCCCCGCCGCGCGCGAGCCGCGGATGGAGAGGCATGGATAAAAGAAAAGGGAACTGGCAACAGTGTTTAGGACTTAGGTCGGGCATGTTGTCCCCCTACAAGGGAGTTTTGGACGACAACTAAAACAGACCCCAAAAATGCTCCAAAAATAAACAAAACATCGTCCCCTGACTATTTTTTGACTATTTCTGAATCTTCCTCCTGTCGGAGAGAACGCGTTTCACGGGCGCTTGCCTTGGGAACATTCGGCGGTGCGTTTCGAACTGGGGGGTGGGCCCCCCCCCCAACACTCGGCGCCGTCGATCAAAACCAGGGGGGCTCCCCTCCTCCCCAAACTCCCCCAAACCCCCACCCTCCCGAACCCCCCCCCCTCCCCTCCCAATGGGGGGCGGGGGGGGTCCAAAACCTCCCGCCCCCCTCGCCGACGGCGGGGACGCGGCGACGATGACCAGAGGCAGCCCAAAAGAGGGTGGGGTTCAACACCCCCGTCCCTGGCGCCTGCGCCGGCGAAGGGCGCCGGCGGCGGCCAGCAGCGCCGGCGCTGGCGCCGGCGACGGGGGGGGACGCAGCGACGATAACCACCACTACCACCACCACCACCACCACTACCACCACCACCACCGCCTCAACCCACCACCACCACCACCACCACACAACCACCACCACCACCACCACCACAGCCACCACCACCACCACAACCACCACAACCACACCTCACCATCATCACCACCACAAAAACTCACCACCACCACAATCTACCACGCCACCACCACCACCGCCACAACCACCACCACTACCAGCAGCACAACCCACCACCACCACCACAAACCACCACACCACCACCACCGCCACCACCACCACCACCACCTTCACAAACCAACGCCACCACCACAACCCACCACCACCACCATCACCACAACCCACCACCAAACCACCACCAAACCACCACCACCACCACAACCACCACCACCACCACAAACCACCACCACACCACCACCACCACCACCACCACCACCACCACCACCACCACCACCACCACACACCACCACCACACCACACCACCACCACCACCACCCACCACCAAAACCCACCACCACCACAACAAACCACCACACCATCACCACCACCACCGCCACCACCACCACAACCCACGACCACCACCACCACCACCACCACCGTCCTCGTCGACGCTCCCCGCCGCCGCCGCCCGCCGCCGCAGGCGCCGGCGCCGGCCCAGAAAAGGAAACCGTCGTCCCCGCCGCCGCCGCCGCCAGCTGCCGCCGACCTAGGCGCTGGCCCGAGGAGAAGGAGAGAGGAGAAGTAGGGGAGGAGGGAGGGGGATGTTCGACCCCCCGCCCCCCTCAGTCACGGGAGGGGTGGGGGGGGTGGGGGGGGAGGTCCGGTTCCAACCCCCCCCCTCCCTCCAAGCGACCACAGAACGCGCTCTCTTTCCCCTGTCGAAGGACAGGCCCGACGTAAGTTTAGGAATGGTGAGGGGTCGGGCCGCGAGCCCAGCAAGCGTAGTGCCCCATCTCGTTCCGGCGAACGCCCCCCACGGGGCAGCCTCCAGCACCAGCCTCGGGGGCCCACACAGTAAGGAGATTGGGGCCAGATTCGTCGTTCGGGCGGGCCCCTTGGGCCCATCGTGGGATGCGAGAGGGGGGAGGAGGGAGAGAGGGAGGACGCGAGCGAGGGAGAAGGAAGAGGACATGATGAGAGGAGCGAGCGGCCCGAAGCCAGGTTGGCAGGTTCTGGGGGCCTCCGAGGCGCCGGAGAGAGGAGGAGGGAGAGAGAGAAACGAGACCTCGCCAAACTCGGCATCGCCCTCCTCGGCGTCCCGCTTGAGGGCGTTTTCTCCCAAAGCCCTCACCGCGGGAAGATCTCCCCCCCCGCGGCCGGACGTGGCCAGCACACCGCGCTCGGGAATCGTGGCCAAGGGGGGCTCGGAACCCGAGCTCCCCGAACCCGCGCTTTCCTGAGCCCGAGCGCCGAGGGTGAGAATCTCCCGAATCCGCTTCGGAGGAGGAAAGGGGGGGGGAAGGGGGGAGGAGGAGGGGGAGGGAGGAGGGGAAGGAAAAATGTTGAGGAGGAGGGGGGCGGAGAAGGGGAGGGAGGAGGAGGAGGAGGACCAGAGTAACACCAAGAAACATAAGAGAGGATACAATACACCTTCCCGTCCCAAGTCTCCTCCTGAAAATCCATGCGTGAAAGTCCTACTGTAAGAAGCTTCCCCGTGAGAGACCTGCACCACATGCGCCTGCCATGCAAGCAAGAACCTCGTTTTAGGAAGGCACTGCCCTGCATCGTCGAACGAATTATACGGAATGCGTTTTGAAAAGGTACAATCATACAACGCAGCAAAATATCATGCGCAGTCACCGCTTTGAAAAACGACCATCCTGTGCAAATAGCGCGCAAGCTCACACTTCTGGAGGCGCACTTCGAGGAAATCCCAAGCGAAATCCCCATTTTGAAAAGCAGCCGTTCTCCGTCCCTGTAAGTGTGCCAAGCTTTGAAGACGAATGTGCGCGGCGCTGAGGAAGAGGTCACATTTTTGAGAAGGAACCGCCATCCACCCTGGAAAGCTTTTGAAACGAATGTTCGCCAGCGTGGGTCCCAAACGGTGAGTTCTTGCACTCTCAAGGCGAACGCTATGCCGTGTAAGCTGTACACATTGTGCAAGCAGTGGCTGGCAAGCTATGTGGTGTAATGGAGGGCAGACAATCCACCCCGATCATAACCCCCCCGACACGCGAGGCCTTTAGTAAACGCGCCCAAAGAAGGAATCGAACAGGGCAGGGCTGTAAACGGCCAGGACCATTTAGTAAACGCCGACTGTCCGGTCCGAGTGGTTTTTCCTCCCTTGATGTAAGCCGTGCCATGCCAGCTGTGATGCGGACTGTGTGGTGTCAGCTATGCGGCGTGAGCTGCGCTGCGAAAAAACGATGCTACCCATCCAGGGCACAGGGCCCCCAACGGACCTGGCCAACTGCTCAGCAGGAGGAGGGAGAAACTCTGAATGCAAGCACTGCTTTGGGGAGTGTGCGCGGCGCGAAAGAGAGAGCGCCGTGTTGAGAACGACCCCCCGAACATGTGCGCGGCGCGAAGGGCAACAGAAGAGGGCTGTGCGGGAGGGTAGGAGTACCAGGACAAGGACGACGAGGAAGAGTGGGAGGAGGAAGCGTGGAGAAGAGGAGAGGTGGAGGTGGTGAAGGAATCAGCCCCGCGACTCCAACGACGGACCCACGGGGGCCCATCCGGAAGGAAAGAACTTCTGGGGCGCGCCCAGGAACCCAGGGGGTCCGGCTTCCGCGGAGGAAAAGAAAAAATCCCCGGCGAGGGGTCCGAGCACGAGGGTTACCCCCGCCGGAAGAGAATTGACGTCTCAGCCGCGGGGGTGCCCGCGCGAGGGGTCCCCCCCCCCAGCGCAACCAGAGGAGAAAAAACATGAAAATCCAGATTGTAAATGCAATGCAGCAACACTCTAATAGTGGTTGCACTAGGGAGTTGTGCTGGTACTAGGGAGTTGTACCAGGGAGTCCAACTGGGAGTTGTAGGGAGTTGGACTAGTACTAGGGAGTTGCACAGGGAGTTGCACGAATGAAATTGCACTAGGGAGTTGCACTGGGGAGTTGGACTAGGGAGATGCACCAGGGAGTTGTACTAATGCTAGGAGGTTGTACTAGGGAGTTGTACTAGGGAGTTGTACGAATACTGCGTGCACCAGGATATTTTACAAGGAAGTTTCACTAGGGAGTTGCACTATTACATTATATCGCTAGGTTGCACTACGAAGTTGCACTATAAATTGTATTATTACTAGTGAGTTGTACCTGGGAGTTGTACTAGGGATTTGTACCAGCGAGTTGTACTAGCACTCGGGAGTTGCATCAAAGAGTTGTGCTGGTACTATTTGTGCTAGAGAATTGTACCAGGGAGTTGTACTAGGGAGTTGTACCAGGGAGTTGTACTAGCACTATGGATTTGTACGAAGGAGTTATACTAGGGCGCGCAGTTCTACCAGTTGTAATATGAGACCAGTTGCACTCTAATAGCTGCACGGCAGGATAATGTACTGTCTAGGAGAAACTGCGCGCTAGTACATGATAGTACCAGTCGTACTCAAGTACTAGTTGTACAGTAGTCGGAGGGGTTCAGGGGTTCTAGTGGCAACTCGCGCGCGGAAGAAGGAAAGAAACCCATGCGCCGCCAAGGGTCCCGGGTTCAACGAGTCGCCGCGAAAGTTGATGAAAGTTGACCCCCCGTGGAAAGGAGAAAAGAAATCCGGCCAGGGGGTTGGGGGGTTCAGACAAGAGTCGCGGGGCTGATGTGGAGGAGGGAGGGAGATGGGGTAGGTTGAGGAGAGAGCAGGAGAGCGAGGGAAAGACTGGGATCGGGTCGGGCGAAAGGGGGGGATAGCAAAGGGGGGGTTTGAGAATCAGCTCACGTAGCTGATTTTCCCGGCGCCTCCCGGCGCCGGAGGCGCCCATGTATCGAGGAATGGCCCCCTCGGTGAGGCCGAAACCAGCTGCATGCAGCAAATTTCGTAACCCCCCCTTTCCCAATCCCCGCCTTTCGCCCGGCCCGATGGGAGGAGGGAGGAGGGGAAGGGGCAAGGATAGAAGGGGGAGGAGGGGGTGAAGCGACTTGTAATGCCGTCGACTGGAGGCCGGCGCCACTGCAGCGGTGGCCCCAGCATGCAGTATACGCGCGCAGGGCGCCGCGGTTGGCAAGGCCCGGCCGTGGCTTGGCACGCGCGCCCAGGCTCATGCACGAGGCAGGCAGGGGGAGGCGCCCGGGGGAGGGGCAGCGGCCAGGCACGCACGCACCAACCAGCTGGTTCAGCTGGCGGCCCGCTCCGTGCTGGTGGCGGCTGCGCACAGAGAGTGGCCCCAGGCAGGAGGGATGACCTTCGGTGCGCGGCTTCCCGGGGGCGCGGGAGGGAGCCAACACAGAGCGCGCCCAGCGGCTGCTACCGCGTCGCGTCCTTGATCGGGGAACCCCACTGGACCCGCATCAAAGATCACTCCGGCGAAAGGTCGCTCTTGCGTGTAGCCGGTGGCACGCCGCCAACAAGATCCGCTCGAAGCAGCACCGGCTCTGGCTAGCTTCCCATGGCGGTGGGATCACCGTACATCTGATCCCTGGGCTCAATCACCATCTCGTGCACGCCCACGTGCGCGGGGGCGGTGACAGCATACAGCACGCTTGCAGCGACATCCTCTGGATCCAGGTAGAACTCTCGCGAGGCTCCAGCGCAGACGACATCGCCGATCTTGACGCCGACCTTGTCTGCAGCCTCCTGATCTGAATTCTGCATTATCAAGTTCGTCGCCGTATCCCCAGGCTGGATATCTGTCACGCGGACCCCGCTGCCAACGCACTCTGCGCGCAGACCCCTGCTGAAGGTGTTGACGAACGCCTTAGGCGAGCAGAAACGTCACGCTCATAATAAGCACCCCGGAAAGCGAAGCCGTAAAGGAAAACGCACCCAAGGAAAGAATCGAACAGGCCAGGGCTGTTTCGCAACACACAAATTATGGGGGGCTTTTTTTTGGTTTCCCTCCTTCACACCTTGCTGGCGTTGTAGACAGTCAGTGCCGGGAAGAGCGTCTTGGCGGCATCGGAGCTGATGTTCACAAAGTGTCCTGAGCCTGCCTTCAGCATCGCTGGCAGGGCGGCGCCGCAGACGTTCACGACGCCCTTGCAGTTCACCTCGATGGTCTGCTCCCACTCGTCGTAGTGCAAGTTCTTCATCAGCGTGAAGAACATCACGCCAGCACAGTTCACCACGATGTCGATCTGCCCCAGCCGTCCCTCTACCTTGCCAACCTCGAGAAACAAATGAAATACTCCGACAGTGAGACCCCGCATGAGAATCTTCTCGGCCAGTCTGGAAGATTCTGGAAGTAGTGTACTCCTCATCGTCGCCCGTGTGATTGCGGAGGCTCTCTTCCTGTCTCGTGTCCACCCTTCTCCTTGTCGGCCTGGCGGAAGCCCTCCTCAGGACCTCTGCTTTGCCTCCAACTCATCCTCCTACCTTGGATCCCCGCCTCCACCACCTTCCCCGTTTCTGTTGCACAGATACGCAAATAGATTCTCCGAAGGGGGCCGGCACTGTCTCAACAGGGGCGCGCGCGTTCGCTGGCGGTGGGACCGCGAGGTCGGTGGCACACCGGGACGCTGGGTCCCCATAGGGAGGGACTCCGCTCGAGACTTCCTCGCGATTCTCTCACAAACGAAGCTCCCGCTCGAGACTTTCTGCAGGCGTAGGCCTGAGGAGACCAAAAATCAAGACAGGTGCAGGATCTAAATGGCCCCGCTCGGATTTCGGCATGGAGGTATGCATCCCATAGGGAGGCGCTGCCGCTCGAGACTTCCTCGCGATTCACTCACAGACGAAACTCCCGCTCGAGACTTCCTCCAGGTGCAGGCCCGAAGGGCCCAAAAGTGAAGACAGTTACAGGATCTGGATGGCCCCCCTCGGACTCCAACATGGAGGTGGGCACCCCATAGGGAGGCGTTCCCGCTCGTGACTTCCTTGCGTTTCACTGACAGACGAAGCTCCTGCAGGAGACTTCTTCCAAGTTCAGGCCTGAGGGGCCCAGAAATTGCGATACTTAGAGGATACAGAGAGCCGCGTTCGGATCCAACATGGAGTCGGGGACCCCATATGGAGGAGCTCCCGCTCGAGATTTCCTCGAAATTCCCTCACAAACGAAATTTCCGCTCGAGTCGCCCCCCTGATTCAGGCCTGAGGAGCCCAAAAGTGACGACAACTGTAGGATCTGGATGGCCCCACTCGGGATCCATCATGCAGGTGGGGAGCCCACAGGGAGGCGTTCCCGCTCAAGACTTCCTCGAGGTTCACACACGACGCTCCCGCTCGAAATTTCCCCCAGATGAGTATGCGAGTGTGCGAATATGTGCGATGATGGCGATGGTGCTGCTGATGATGCCAATGCTGATGACGATGGCTATATCGATAACGAGGAACAAAAGGACGATGACGATGATGGTGATGATGATGAGTGTGGTGATGACGATGATGATGATGAGGAGGAGGAGGAGGATTATGAGGACGATCGGTGGCAATGTTGGGACGGTGGCAGTGATGATGCTTGTGGTGCGATGGTGATGGCGAATGTTAAAGGAGATGGGGAGGAAGTAAAAAAGGGCGTTGTGAAGACTGCGCGGGGTGTCCAAAGAAAACTATGCACTCCGACGGCAGGACCCCGCATGGCCGCTTTTTTCGGCTGATCTGGAAGTGCTCCTCATCGTCCTTTCTTTGATTTCGGAGGTTCAGCTCTTGTTTCCTCTTCGCCAACACCCTTCTCCCCCTGGCGCACGCCCTCCTCTGACCCCGTGCTATGCCTTCTCCTCGCCCTGTTGCCGTTCCTCCCCCTCCGCCGCCTCCCCCCTTTTCGTTTCAATGGCGCGCGCGTCGATGGTCCTCGGCGCCGTCACCGCTTCGGCGGGCAAGGGCGCGTTCTACGATGGCCAGATCGCGAAGTCGTTGGGGCGACCTCGCGAGCCGCGCCGTTGGGGCAAACCCGCGGGCCGCTGGCGCGCGAGACCAAACCTCGCGGACAACCCCGCGGGTTTCGAGCGCGGCGCGGCCACGCCCAGGCGGGGGGGCAACGCGAAACCAAACTCTGCGGCGAGCTGCTCGGCCTCAGCCCTGGGGTACGCCACTCTCTCGTCGAACTCCCCGAGCGCCTTCCTCGACGACGCTCGCGGTCCGGGCCCCAGGAACTCGCGCGGGGGCGGCCGCGGGATCAGCGCGTTCCGTGCGCACGTGCCGCGGGGAAAATGACGTAGAAACGCAGCCACACATCCTCGTCCGACATGCCACCGCGGCCAGCGTCCTCATCTCCAGAACAATCGATGATGGTGCCCTGGCACAACGGGTGCCCCTGCGACGGCATGGCGGTAAGGCAGGGCGCGCGCGTCAGGGTGAACCCGTGCGGCGCACGGCGTGTGGCCCCGAGCTCTGCCACGTGAGCTCCTGATCGCTGGGCCTGAACACGAACGAGCTCCGCGCCCGCGCCTCGGCCTGGCCGTCGTCGTCAATGCCTTCGGCACCCTGCAGCAGAGTTCGGCGACATCCTGGTAAATCGGGGGACTCCTTGAAGCCGTGCGCCTGCATCCAAATTCCCTGCGGCGGGAAGCGGGTGCTAAAGAGCTCGCCTGGCGCGCACCCCTCGTGCCGCAGTCCACCTGCGGACCCCATACGAAGGTGGTTCCCGCCTGAGACTTCCTTCCCCACAAATCCCTCACAAACGAAGGGTCCGCTCGAGACGTCCTCCTGGTCCACGCCTCAGAGGCTCCAAAGTGACGACAATTGCAAGATTTGGCTGGCCCGCTCGGATTACTAACATGATCAGCCGGTCCCATAGGGGTGCAGCTGCCGCCTGAGACTTCCTCACAAGCCGTTCACAGACGAGGCTCCCGCCAGAGACATCCTCCTGATCCACGCCTCAGGGGGCCCCAACTGATTACCTACCATACGACCCCAAGCCAACCCGACTACCCGAATTTCGGGTTAGGGGCGGGTGCGGGTTCCATCCGTGTTGTCCCAATGTTCCCCGATGCCCGCCCCCCCCACTGGGAATGGGGGGCAAATTGGGGCCTTCGGGTTGGGTTTGGGTGGCTTGGTGGGTAGTGAAGAATCCACGCTGAAAACGCAGCAGCAGAGGGCCCCTTAAACGCGATCTGGGGGCGAAGAGCTCCCGTGACTCTCAGCGACAGCTGAACGTCTATGCACACGATGGTACCAGTCCAAGATAGTGCCCTGAACAAGCGCGCTGCCACGAACAACTTCATGGACCAACAGAACAGCAGAAGAAAGGGGCAAGGACGAGAAACAGGGGCGGAGACAATAGGCACGCTACAAATGTATTAAGTAGCCGTGCGCCCGCGCGTGCGCAGACCAGCCTAGTGGGTCGGCACCCGCGCAAATGGCCCTCGCGAGCGGAGGCGTACACAAACCAAGAGAAGAGAGGGAGGGCGGCGGGAAAGGAGGGCAAGGAGGGAGGTGAGGGAGAGAAGCGATACAGGTACACCCTGCTGCCGAAACAGAGGGGCCAGGCCAGAAATAGCCAGCAGCACTGCAACAGATTGGCTTCACTCAGGCCGGCGACATGCTGCATCATGACAACCGAGGACAAGGACAAGAACATCCGCATGAGGTGTTAACGTCAGAGCACCTACACGGGTGATATACGCGCTATGGCCAAAATCCCCTGCGCTTGGTTGTGCTGCAGCCCTGCTCTCTCTCACTAGGGATAAACACCGAGGGGGGAGGCGAGGAGGAGGGCGGAAAGGCGAGGGAGGAGCAGAGGAGGACGGCCTGCCCCCCCGAAGGACAGCACGGGCCAGCACGGGCGGCCGACGGGCACGACAGCAGGCCGCGCCGTGCAACGGCAGTGCCACGGAGCTGGGGCAGCGCCCAGCTGCCCTCACCGAGTTCCACTCCTGGGCGACCGCCAACCGGGAAGCACCGGGTTGGCTCCCATCACTTCCCAGCACCACTGCCCGGCGACGGATGGCGGGCGACCGCCATCGCCTCCCGGCTCTCTCTCTCTCTCTCCTTTCTCGGCTTTTGCATGTGCCCCCCCACGTCGGTCCTGTCTTTCGCTGCCTCAGGAGCCCGAACGTGACGACAGTTACTGGATCAAAATGACCCGCTCGGATTACTAGCAAGACCTGCCGGCGCCATAGGGAGCGGGTTCCCGCATGAGACTTCCACGCCATTCACTCATAGACGAGGCGCCCGCCCGAGACGTCCTCGAGATCTACGCCTCTGGAGCCCAATCGGATTACTAACATGATCTGCTGGCCCAACACGGAGCGGGCTCCCGCCTGAGACTTCCCTTACATACGAGGCTCCCGCTCGAGACCTCCTCCTGATCCACGCCTCAGAAGCCTCAAAATCGACGACAGTTACCGGATTTGGATTGCCCGCTCGGATTCCTAACATGATCTGCCAGCCCCAAAGGCAGCGGGCTCCGCCTGAGACTTCCTCACTTTTTCATAACGCACGAAGCTCTCACTCGAGACTTCCTCTAGATCCACGCCTCAGGAGCCAAGAAGTCACGACAATGGTTCCCGACTGAGACGTTCTCACAATTCAATAACAGGCGAGGCTCCCGCCCGAGATTTCCTACCAGTGTACGAGTGGGTAGCTGATTCAATGAGTTTGCGAGTGTGTGTGTGTGCGATGACGATGACGATGCTGATGCTGCTGATGATGTGATGCTAACGCTACTGCTGATGATTATCAGCATCATAATGAAGATTATGGTGGTGATGGTGATGAATGATGAATGATGGTGATGATGATGGTGATGATCGTGATGGTGGTGGGTGTGTTTATGATGATGATGATAGTGCAGGTGATGATGGTGATGGTGGTGGTGATGATGATGATGATGATGATGATGATGATGACAGTGGTAAGTGTGATGACGATGACGGCAACGACGACGAGGACGACGATGATGATGATGATGATGATGATGATGATGATGATGATGCTGATGCAGATGCAGATGCTGATGCTGCTGCGGCTGATGATGATAGTGATGATGATGACGATGATTCAGAGAATGATGATGATACTGATTATGATAATGGTGATGCTGATGGTGATGATGATGGTGACGGTGCTTGGTGGTGGTGATGATAGTGATGATGCTGGTGATGATCGTTATGCTAATGACAACAGTAAGGAAAACACTAACAATACTGACGATGATGATGCTGATGATGCTGCTGACGATGGTGATGGTGGTGATGCTGATAATGAGAATGATGATGCTGCTGGTGATGATGATGATGATGATGATGGCGATGGTGATGATGATGATGATAATGATAATGATGATGACGATGACGATGACGATGACGATGCTGATGAAGATAATGATGATCATGATGATGATGATGATGATGATCATGATGATGATGATGGTGATGGTGATGGTGATGGTGATGATGATGATGATGATGATGATGATGATGATGATGATGATGATGATGATGATGATGATGATGATGATGATGATGTGGGCGAGGGGGGAGTGTTCCTCCTGATGTTCCTGCGCAGGGGTGTCCAGAGAAAGCAAGGGTCCCACTTTGGATGTGGGGAACAAGACCCCCGCCCAGGATGTGGGGAATGACATAAGCATAAACTTGTGTAGGTCCGCACGGGTTTCTGGGATCGGCGCTGGACCCCCGCGGCGCCTGACGCGCCGCTTGGGGGCTCCAGCGCCGTTCCGAAGAATCCGCGGGGACCTCCAAAAAGTTACAGCCGAGAATATGACCAGAAAACCATCGTTCAAGAAATCTGGGACAGCTTCCCGGAGGTTTCTTAAAACAAACCTGGGCCAATTTCTGCCGTTCACGCTGAAGGCGTGAACGTGCTCAAGCAACTGGGCCAGCTTCCCAGCGAGTTGATGATGAAACGCTGGCCCAAATTTTCGGGAGGAGGTTTCTTAATCAGACGCTCGACCGTATGTCTACACCATTTTCAGTTCCCGGAAGACCATCTCGTGCACTGCCTTGCGCGACGTGACGTCGCAGGGCATCGGGATAGAGTCGCCGGGCAGAGACGCGGAGACCTCCTGGAGCTTTTGTGCGCTGCGCGCCACGATCACGACGGTGGCGCCCTCGCCTGCGAGCACACGGGCCACTGCTCTGCCGATGCCGCTGCTGGCGCCGGTGACCAGGGCGACGCGTCCGCCGAGCCGACCGGGCAGCGACATGGGGCTGGGCAGCAAGCGCTCGCTCACTAATCGGCGGAGGTAGGCGCCAAAGGCAGCGTCGGTGAGTGCCGGGTAGCTGATGCCGAAATGCTCGCACGCGGCCCTGGTATTCTCCTGGCTGCAGTGGTGGTGGCGTCCCAGCAAGCTGTTGAGAGCATCCTGGCCCAGCACGATGCTGAGCAGCCCGTCCTGCTGCTTCCCTTTGTTCTCGCACCATGCTGACTTGTCCTTTCGTGCTATGGGGAACCCCACGCGTGTGGCGACTTGAGCCATGTCCTGCAGGGACAACTTCTGCTCATTGATCAAGTGGAACGTCTTGGAGTTCGCAAACTTCAGGTCCATCATGCACTTCTGAACGAATTCGGCCACAAAGTCCACCGGAGTGAACTCCAATGACCAATCTCCGGCTTCAGGCACCGCGCCGCGCTCGATGCAAGCGCGCATGAACAGCAAGTTGGAGTCATTCCCGTTCCAGCCACTGCCATGCTGAGGGCCAGCCAAGTTTCCCAGCCGATACACCACACAGGGCAAGCCCAGCTCGTTTGCCTTGAGCACAAGCTGCTCCGCCACCCACTTGGTCTGCCCATAGCCAGTGTCCAGCAGGTGATGGGGAGGGGTGTCGGCCTCGCTGAAACTGCCAGGCGTGCCACTTTCTGGGAAGATGCCGTTCGTTGATATGTAATGAAGTGCCTTGACCTTGCCACCCCGGGCAAACTCAAGTGCCCGCGCAGTGCCCTGCACGTTGGCAGCCTCGAGGAGGTCGTACGTGTACGCCAGGTTGACATTGGCAGCCGCGTGAACGACGACGTCTATCAGCTGCTGTAGGAACAATTGCTCACCCTCGTCCATACCCATGTTTGGCAACGACACGTCGCCAGGGATCACCTGACGCCGCGCCATTTGTTTCGAACGCGCCCAAGTGGACGACGCCGACACCACGGCAAACCAACGGCAAACCCTGCGTCCCGCGCCCCAGCAGGCGAAGCCGCCACCGCGGCAAACCCCACTTCAGGCTCACCGCTCCCGGGGCGGCGTTTGCCCTGGTGCCCGCGGCGCCCTCCCCAGGACGCAAGGCCGCGCGTCGGAACAAACGGCGCGGCGACACCTGCAGGCGGTCCAGGTCCAGGTCCATGAAGCCCTGCGCGTGTATGTGGTCGACCAGCCGCTGCCTGGCCGCCGCCGCGCGATCCTCCGAGCCTGCCGGCGGGCGCACGAGGCAGAAGACCTGGCACGACGTCCTCCGCAGCAGCTGGGCGAGCAGGTGCACGCCCAGGTAGCCCGTGGCGCCCGTGAGCAGCACGCGCTGCGAGTTGTTCGCGAAGACCGTGTACCGCCAGTACGCCTGGACGCTGAGGCCGATGTCCGGCATGGCGTGCGTGTACTTCTCCACCTCCTGCGGCAGGAACCTCGCCGGCCCGGCAGCCACGCCCTCTCCGCTGATCAGGCGCACGGCGCCGGCCACGGTGGGCGCCCGCAGGAAGTCCGCCACGCTGATCTGCGGCCCTCCGAGCTCCGCGATCCGCGCCAGCAGCTGCGTGACCAGCAGGGAGTGGCCACCGAACTCGAAGAAGTTGCTCCCGCTGGTCAGGGTGCCCGCCGGCAGGCCCAGGACCTCCTCGAAGACCAACTGGCACGCCGCCTCGCTGCCATCGAAGCGGAAGCTGGCCGGGACCGCGGCCGCTGGCGGCGGCGCCGGCGGTGGTGGCAGCGCTTTGCGGCTGGCCTTGGTGGACACTGGGTCGATCGGCAGCTTGTCTAGCACCACGTAGACGGAGGGGACCGCATAGTGCGGCAGCTCCTTCACCAGCTCTTGAAACAGCAGCGGGCTCCGCCCATGCTCATCGATGAGCGCCTGGTCCAGCGGCAGCCGGCCCCGAAGATCTCCAGGGGTACACGGCGACATGTATGCCACCAGTCGCTTGTCGGTCCCTTCCGCACCAGCAGCGACTACGATTGCCTGGTTGACGCCAAGCTGCTTCAAGACGGCTGACTCTACTGCCCCAAGAACGACAGAGTAGCCTCTTACCTTCGCCATGAAGTCACAGCGGCCTAATACCTCGATGGCGCCGTCATGCAGTTCGCGGACAAGGTCGCCAGTGCGGTAGAAAGGCTTGCCCTCGTATGTGATGAACACCTCTTTGGTCTTCGTAGGGTTCTTGGTGTAGCCGCGTCCCACGCCACGTCCTGACACCCACAACTCGCCGGCCTCGCCCTTCGCGACTTCCGCTGGCTCGTCGTGGGAAGACAGACGCTCAGTGTTCATGACCCGATACTCCGCAAAGTCGGCCACTCGGCCCACTGGACAGAAGTTGATGGGCAAATTTTCCACCACCACTACCATGTGTAGGACGGGGTAGAAGGGAGGATGACATGCTCCTCCTCCTCCTCCTCCTCCTCCACCTCCTCCTCCTCCCCCTCCCCCTCCTCCTCTCCCTCCTCCTCCCTCCTCCTCCTCCTCCTCCTCCTCCCTCCCTCCTCCCCCTCCTCCCTCCCCCTCCCCTCCTCCCT